CGTTCTCAAGGAGTTACCCCATCTCTTAGGATCGACTAACCCATGTGCAACTGCTGTTCACATGGAACCTTTCTCCACCTCAGTCTTCAAAGTTCTCATTTGAATATTTGCTACTACCACCAAGATCTGCAGCGATCGGGAGCTCCACGCGCGCTCACGCGCACGCTTCGATGCGTCCCACCGCGCCCTCCTACTCGCACCGGCTCACCAGCAGCCGGGTGCGGCCGGGTATAGGTCACGCGCTTGAGCGCCATCCATTTTCGGGGCTAATTGATTCGGCAGGTGAGTTGTTACACACTCCTTAGCGGATTTCGACTTCCATGACCACCGTCCTGCTGTCTTAATCAATCAACACCCTTTGTGGGATCTAGGTTAGCGCGTAGTTAGGCACCGTAACCCGGCTTTCGGTTCATCCCGCCTCGCCAGTTCTGCTTACCAAAAATGGCCCACTTGGCACTCATGTTGGTGGGGTCAGCCAGCACCCCTGAAAGCCAGCCACAATTAAGATGGCGGCCCTCCTCGCCCGTTTAAAGTTTGAGAGTCGGTCGAGGGAGCTTCTCCCCCGAGCCCGCCAATCATTCGCTTTACCAGACGTAACCACGTATCGAGCACCAGCTATCCTGAGGGAAACTTCGGAGGGAACCAGCTACCAGATGGTTCGATTAGTCTTTCGCCCCTATACCCAAGTCTGACGAACGATTTGCACGTCAGTAGCGCTGCGGGCCTCCACCAGAGTTTCCTCTGGCTTCGCCCTGCTCAGGCATAGTTCACCATCTTTCGGGTCCCAACGCGACTACTCAACGCACCCCGGGCGCCGAGGCCCCCGGGGCGGTCCGTGGTGCGGGCAGCACGAGGCCGCCTTCTCACGGGTCGCTTTCACTGTCGCCATTGTGGTTTTCAACCCATTGGCTCGCAGCCGCGTTGGCCTCCTTGGTCCGTGTTTCAAGACGGGTCGCATCAGCCCGTTTCGCCAGCGCCGACCCGTGAGGATGGATGTGAACCCGTACAAAGGTGGTTCCCACCCCGGTTGACACTTTCCCCCGGTCATCCAGGGATTTCCACCTGGAAAAAGAGGTCCCGGAGCCCATCCAAGCCCGCGCAAGGGTAGATTTCGACCTTGGCCGGTTCGTTGGAGTGCTTGGGTCATTCCAGCCGGTCAAAAGGACCCTTGGGATGGATGTGAACCCGTACAAAGGTGGTTCCCACCACGGGTGACATTTTCCCCTGGTCATCCATGCCTTTCCACCGGGAAAAGGAGGTCCCCGAGGTCATCCGAGCCCGTGCAAGGGTGGATTTCGTCCTCGGCCGGTTCGTTGGAGTGCTCGGGTCATTCCACCCGGTCAAAAGGACCCTTGGGATGGATATGAACCCGTACAAAGGTGGTTCTCACCACGGGTGACACTTTCCCCCGGTCATCCATGCCTTTCCACCGGGAAAAAGAGGTCCCGGAGGCCACCCGAGCCCGTGAAAGGGTGCATTTTGACCTTGGCCAGTTCATTGAAGCACCTGGGCCCTTCCAGCCGGTCCAAAGGACCCATGGGATGGATGTGAACCCGTAGAGAGGTGGTTCTCACCACGGCTGACACTTTTCCCCGGTCATCCAGGCCTTTCCACCGGGAAAAAGAGGTCCCGGAGTCCATCCGAGCCCGTGCAAGGGAGGAGTTCTACCTTGGCCGGATCCACCCGGGTCGTGTGGGGGGTCCGGACCATCCCGGGTGGGAACCGGATCCACCCGGGCCGAGTGGGGGGTCCGGACCATCCCGGGTGGGAACCGGATCCACCCGGGCCGGGTGGGGGGTCCGGACCATCCCGGGTGGGAACCGGGTCCATCCGGGTCGGATGGGGGGTCCGGCCCAGACCATCCAGGGTGGGAACAGGGTCCCTGGCAGGGTCCATCCGGGCCGGGTGGGGGTCCGGACCATCTCGGGTGGGGATCGGATCCACCCGGGCCAGGTGGGGGTTCGGACCATCCCGGGTGGGAACCGAGTCCACACATTCCGGGTGGGAACCGAGTCCACGGAGGCCGGAGGGAAGGGGGGGGGGGGGGGGATTCTCGACCATCCCGGGTGGGGACCGCATCCGCCCGGGTCGGGTGGGGGTCCGGACCATCTTGGATGGGGACCGCATCAACCCGGGTAGGGTGGGGGACCGGACCATCCCGGGTGGGAACCGGGTCCACACAGGCCGGGTGGGGGGTCCAGACCATCCCAGGTGGGGATCGGATCCAACGGGGCGGGGTGGGGGTTCCGGACCACCCCGGGTGGGAACCGGGTCCACCCGGGCAGGGTGGGGGGTCCGGTCCATCCCGGGTTGAAACCGGGTCCACCCAGGCCGGGTGGGGGTCCAGACCATCCCGGGTGGGAACCGGACCCACCCGGGTCGGGTGGGGGGTCCGGACCATCCAGGGCGGGAACCGGGTCCACCCGGGCAGGGTGGGGGTCCGGACCATCCCGGATAGGAACCGGGTCCACCCGGGCCGGGTGGGGGTCCGGACCATCCCGGGTGGGAACTGGGTCCACACAGGCCTAGTAGGGGGTCCGTGCCATCCCGGGTGAGGATCGGATCCACCCGGGTCGGGTGGGGATCGGACCATCCCGGGTAGGAACCGGGTCCACCCGGGCGGGGTGAGGGGTCCGGACCATCCAGGGTGGGGAGCGGGTCCACCCAGACCGGTTGGGGGTCCGGTACATCCCGGGTGGGGATGGGACCCACCCGGGTCGGGGTCGGGTGGGGGTCCAGACCATCCGGGGTGGGAACCGGATCCACACAGGCCGGGTGGGGGGTCCGTTCCATCCCGGGTGGGGATCGGATCCAACCGGGCGGGGTGGGGGTTCCGGGCCATCCCGGGTGGGAACCAGGTCCACCCGGGCCGGGTGGGTGTCCGGACCATCCAGGGTGGGAACCGGGTCCACCCAGACCGGTTGGGGGTCCGGACCATCCCGGGTGGGGATGGGACCCACCCGGGTCGGGGTCGGGTGGGGGTCCGGACCATCCGGGGTGGGAACCGGGTCCACACAGGCCGGGTGGGGGGTCCGTGCCATCCCGGGTGGGGATCGGATCCAACCGGGCGGGGTGGGGGTTCCGGACCATCCCGGGTGGGAACCGGGTCCACCCGGGCGGGGTGGGGGGGGTCCGGACCATCCCGGGTTGAAACCGGGTCCACCCAGGCCGGGTGGGGGTCCAGACCATCCCGGGTGGGAACCGGACCCACCCGGGTCGGGTTGGGGGTCCGGACCATCCAGGGTGGGAACCGGGTCCACCCGGGCAGGGTGGGGGTCCGGACCATCCCGGGTGGGAACCGGGTCCACCCGGGCCGGGTGGGGGTCCGGACCATCCCGGGTGGGAACCGGGTCCACACAGGCCTGGTGCGGGGTCCGTGCCATCCGGGGCTGGGTGGGGGTTCTCAGAGGATTTGCAATACTACCTTGCCCAACCTTCACATTCCCACCCATTCACTACTCCTTGCCGACCACTTTGCTCCCATCCTTCTCGTCCCCACCCGCTCTTTCTTCCCACCCCTCCCCGGTCGGGTGGGGGTCCGGACGATCCCGGGTGGGAACCGGACCCACCCGGGTCGGGTGGGGGTTTCGGACCATCCCGGGTGGGAACCGGGTCCACCCGGGCCGGGTGGGTGTCCGGACCATCCCGGGTGGGAACCGGGTCCACACAGGCCTGGTGGGGGGTCCTTGCCGTCCCGGGTGAGGATCGGATCCACCCGGGTCGGGTGATGGCCCGGACCATCCCGGGTGGGAACCAGGTCCACCCGGGCCGGGTGGGTGTCCGGACCATCCAGGGTGGGAACCGGGTCCACCCAGACCGGTTGGGGGTCCGGACCATCCCGGGTGGGGATGGGACCCACCCGGGTCGGGGTCGGGTGGGGGTCCGGACCATCCGGGGTGGGAACCGGGTCCACACAGGCCGGGTGGGGGGTCCGTGCCATCCCGGGTGGGGATCGGATCCAACCGGGCGGGGTGGGGGTTCCGGACCATCCCGGGTGGGAACCGGGTCCACCCGGGCGGGGTGGGGGGGTCCGGACCATCCCGGGTTGAAACCGGGTCCACCCAGGCCGGGTGGGGGTCCAGACCATCCCGGGTGGGAACCGGACCCACCCGGGTCGGGTGGGGGGTCCGGACCATCCAGGGTGGGAACCGGGTCCACCCGGGCAGGGTGGGGGTCCGGACCATCCCGGGTGGGAACCGGGTCCACCCGGGCCGGGTGGGGGTCCGGACCATCCCGGGTGGGAACCGGGTCCACACAGGCCTGGTGCGGGGTCCGTGCCATCCCGGGTGAGGATCGGATCCACCCGGGTCGGGTGGGGATCGGACCATCCCGGGTGGGAACCGGGTCCACCCGGGCGGGGTGGGGGGTCCGGACCATCCAGGGTGGGGAGCGGGTCCACCCAGACCGGTTGGGGGTCCGGACCATCCCGGGTGGGGATGGGACCCACCCGGGTCGGGGTCGGGTGGGGGTCTGGACCATCCGGGGTAGGAACCGGGTCCACGCAGGCCGGGTGGGGGGTCCGTGCCATCCCGGGTGGGGATCGGATCCAACCGGGCGGGGTGGGGGTTCCGGACCATCCCGGGTGGGAACCGGGTCAACCCGGGCGGGGTGGGGGGTCCGGACCATCCCGGGTTGAAACCGGGTCCACCCAGACCGGGTGGGGGTCCAGACCATCCAGGGTGGGAACCGGGTCCACCCGGGCCGGGTGGGGGTCCGGACCATCCCGGGTGGGAACCGGGTCCACCCGGGCGGGGTGGGGGTTCCGGACCATACCCGGGTGGGGACCGGATCCGCCCCGGTCGGGTGGGGGTCCGGACGATCCCGGGTGGGAACCGGACCCACCCGGGTCGGGTGGGGGTTTCGGACCATCCCGGGTGGGAACCGGGTCCACCCGGGCCGGGTGGGTGTCCGGACCATCCCGGGTGGGAACCGGGTCCACACAGGCCTGGTGGGGGGTCCTTGCCGTCCCGGGTGAGGATCGGATCCACCCGGGTCGGGTGATGGCCCGGACCATCCCGGGTGGGAACCGGGTCCACCCAGGCTGGGTGGGGGTTCCGGACCATCCCGGGTGGGAACCGGGTCCACTTGGGCGGGGTGGGGGGTCCGGACCATCCCGGGTTGAAACCGGGTCCACCCAGGCCGGGTGGGGGTCCAGACCATCCCGGGTGGGAACCGGACCCACCCGGGTCGGGTGGGGGGTCCGGACCATCCCGGGTGGGGACCGGATCCGCCCCGGTCGGTTGGGGGTCCGGACGATCCCGGGTGGGAACCGGATCCACCCAGGCCGGGTGGGGGTCCAGACCATCACGAGTGGGAACCGGACCCACCAGGGTGGGAACCGGGTCCACCAGGGCAGGGTGGGGGTCCGGACCATCCCGGGTGGGAGCCGGGTCCACCCGTGCCGGGTGGGGGTCCGGACCATCCCGGGTGGGAACCGGGTCCACCCGTGTCGGGTGGGGGGTCCGGACCATCCAGGGTGGGAACCGGGTCCACCCGGGCAGGGTGGGGGTCCGGACCATCCCGGGTGGGAGCCGGGTCCACCCGTGGCGGGTGGGGGTCTGGACCATCCTGGGTGGGAACCGGGTCCACACAGGCCTGGTGGGGGGTCCGTGCCATCCCGGGTGAGGATCGGATCCACCCGGGTCGGGTGGGGGTCCGGACCATCCCGGGTGGGAACCGGGTCCACCCGGGCGGGGTGGGGGTTCCGGACCATATCCGGGTGGGGACCGAGTCCACGCAGGCCGGAGGGAAGGAAGGGGGGGGGGGGGGGGGTTGGGGTCCGGACCATCTCGGGTGGGGACCGCATCCACCCGGGTCGGGTGGGGGTCCGGACCATCTCGGGTGGGGACCGCATCCACCCGGGTAGGGTGGGGGACCAGACCATCCCGGGTTGAAACCGGGTCCACACAGGCCGGGTGGGGGTCCAGACCATCCCGGGTGGGGATGGGACCCACCCGGGTCGGGGTCGGGTGGGGTCCCGGACCATCCCTGGTGGGAACCACACCCACACCCACACCCACCTAGAGCCCTCAAAGGACCCAAAACCGAAACCGTGGGCGCATCCAAAACATTGAAAAAAAAAATGTCTCTTGGGACCGGAAAGGATCTCGGTCGAGAACCGAAGGTGGTGACCAAAAGGAAAAAGGGCTCTAGGGAGGGCAGGGGCCCTAACAAGGACCCACACCCACCCTAGAGCCCTAAAAGCCTAAAAGGACCCCGGTCGAAACCGAGGGCGTGACCAAAAAAAAAAAAAAAAAAGGGCTCTAGGGAAGGTAGGGGCCCGTGCAACGGCCCGCACCCACCCTAGAGCCCACGAAGGAACCAGGCCGAAATCGAGGTGGTGACCCAAGGGATCCGGTTTTCCGGCCCGGGTCGTTCGACCGACCGATCCGGTCCATCCGACCCACCGGGATGGCCCGGATGGGTCCGGTTCCCCACCGGGATGGCCCGGATGGGTCCGGTTTCTCACCCGGATGGTCCGGATGGATCAGGGTCCCCACCCGGGTGACCCCGATGATCTGGTTCCCGACCCGGATGACCCGGTCGAAACGGTTTTCCACCCGCATGACACGGTCCGGCCCGGTTGATCTGGTTCCAATTCGGTACCCCACCCGGCCTCGGTCCGGTCGATACGCCGGATCCGGTTCATCCGGCTCCCCACCCGGACCATCCGGATGAACCGGTTCCCCGCCCGGTTGGTCCGGATCCCCATCCGGATGGTCCGGTCGGTCCGTTTCCCCACCAGGACGACCGGAACGATCCGGTTCCCCGCCCAGATGACCCGGATGATCTCGTTCCCCCATCCGACTGGTCCGGATTTCCACCCGGTTCCCAACGCGGATGGTCCGAATGGGTCCGGTCCCCCCCCGGATGGTCCGGATGAGCCCGTTTCCCCACCCGGATGACCCGGTCGATCCGGTTCCCCACCCAAATGGTCCGAATGGGTCCGGTTCCCTGCCCGGATGGTCCGGATTGGTCTGGTTCCCCACCCGGGTGAGCCGGATGGTCCGGTTCCCGACCCGGATGACCCGGTTGATCCGGTCGATCCGGTTCCCCACCCGGATGGTCCGGACGGGTCCGGTTCCCGACCCGGTACCCCACCCGGACGGACCGGTTGGGTCCGGTTCCCCATCCGGATGGTCCCGTTGGGTCCGGTTCCCCACCCGGATGGCCGGGATGGGTCCGGTTTCTCATCCAGATGGTCCGGATGGATCAGGGTCCCCACCCGGATGACCCCGATGATCCGGTTCCCGACCCGGATGACTCGGTCGATCCGGTTTTCCACCCGGATGAACCGGTTTCTCGGCCGGTCGGACCGGTTCCCCACCCGGTTCTCCATCCGGATGCTCCGATCGGTCCGTGTCCCCACCCAGATGGTCCGGATGGGTCCGGTTTCCCGCCCGGTCCGGTTCCCCACCCGGGGATGGTCCGGATGGGTCCGACTCCCCACCCGGATGGTCCGGATGGGTCCGGTCCCACGCGCGGATGGTCCGGATGGGTCCGGTTCTCCACCCGGATGACCCTGGTTGATCCGGTTCCCCACCCGGATGGTCGGGACGGGTCCGGTTCCCCACCCGGATGACCCGGATGGTCCGGATGGGTCCGGTTGTCCACCCGAATGACCCGGATGATCCGGTTCTCCTCCCGGATGACCCGGGTGATCCGGTTCCCCACCCGGATGACCCGGTTCCCTACCCGGATGGTCCGGATCGGTCCGGTTCCCCACCCGAATGACCCAGATGGGTCCGGTTGTCCACCCGGATGGTCCGGTTAGGTCCGTTACCCGACCCGGTACCCCAATCGAACGGTCCGGTTGGGTCCGGTTCCCCACCTGGATGGACCGGCTGGGTCCGGTTCCCCACCCGGATGACCCGGATAATCAGGTTCCCCATCCGGATGGTCCGGTCGATCCGGTTACCCACCCGCACGACCCGGATGATCCGGATGATCCGGTTCCGGGTCCTGTTCCCTACCCGGATGGTCCGGTCGATCCGGTCCCCACCCGGATGACCCGGTCGGTCCGGTTCCCCACCCGATTTCCCATCCGGATGGTCGGGTCGGGTCGGTCAGGTTCCGGACCCGGATGACCCGCATGGTCCGGTTACCCATCCGGATGACCCCGGTTGGTCCGGTTTGGCCTCGCTTTTTGACCCCCGGACCCCTAGAAATCCGGAACTTTGCTGAAAATCGGGGCATGGTTGGGGCCGTCCTTATGTCCTTATGTCCTTAGTTCCGTCTTTCGTCTGAGTCGTCGTCCGTCTAGGCAGCTTTGATGGGTATATAAAAAAGATGTCCTCTTCTATATATATCCATCGGAGGGGGCCCGGGGCAGGCCCACGGGAAGGGGGGAGGGGATCTCACTCGAT